TCTATGAGGTTGTGAATCACGCTGTAGGTATACAAACATTTGTTTAAAAAGTTTTAATTAATATAATACACTATTTTTTCATTTTGTGCTCGATAAATTTGCTTTTTATTGCCATTACCAATATACATAAGATGTAGGTAACAAATTAAAAATCACAACTGGTGTGATTTCTATACCGTGTTTTCTATTATTGAAATTATATTGTCTTTCCAAAATGAATCCGAAGTTTCAATAATTTGCGTAATAAACTGATTATATGATCTGCAGAAGGACATTTGGTAATGCTTTACGGTACGATCTGCTGTGGCACGCGCACATGCCTGCACGCAGCCAAACATTGCATACATGGTCAGCCATGTTGCCGAACTGCCACCAAAGTAGAAAAAACTTAGCAGAATTACGTCCATACAGGTAATAGTAGACGAAACTGATAAGCTCATACATATGATTGGGTGCGTAATTTAGCCGGGACCCAGCTGATTGCAGCCTGCCGTTTGCATGCAAAGAAAATAAAATAAAGTATTTTCAGCTTTGGTTTTTCTATGGATTTCTATGAACGCGTGTGAGTTCTTAATCAGTTAATTGGAATTATCATGAGAATCGGAAAAGTAGTGAAAACTGGGTATTACTAATTACTATTTATTTTATATTAAAAAAAACTTTAAAATTCTCAAATTCTTCAATCTTCAAATTGATTCTGTTTCAATGTTTCAGCAAAACTGATCGCGTAGGTGGTTAAGGAAGTGGTAATGATAGTACTGGCAACTACGCGAAAAATGTTGAGTGGCACGCCGGCGCAAAGTGCTAAACTATCATGGCGACCGTTGTTTTGTTTTGGAAATTGGTGAATTTCAGAGGGCGAAAAGTGGTGGAAAACGGCATTTAGGTTGTTGCAACGGTTTAGGTAGGCAACGAAAAGTTGTCTGATTGAGCTTTCAAAAATTCTTCATCAGCCATTTTCCACATAAAACAACATTTACATAATCACACTACTGGACCATAGATAAAGACAAGTACTGGACTACGGCAGGCCGGCGTGTCTTGTGACGTCGGACTAATCACATGGTGTTTCAGCATGACGTCAATCTGATCAGATTTGAAAGCCCATTTAATAGCAAAATAATTTTTTCCGGATTTATTTTTCTTGCAGTGTATTTATATGCAACAAAACTTGTATTCTAGTGTGTTTTTAATTAAAAAAAAAATAATGCAAAGAGCCTATTGTCAATTGATTTCTCCGACTATTGGAGCGTATCGGCCGCAATAGAAATTGAATTTTTTCGGGCAAATCTCCGGGTATTTTCAAGAAAGAAAAATCCCCCTATTGATTGGCCCCAACTCCCCGCCTCGACATTGATGACCTACTTGAAACTTCACGGCAGAAACAAAGCCACCCCTCCTCAACAACACGCCAGCGACGACATGGCCCCGAAGAATTCCCTTATATTCCCCAGTATATAGATATATTGTTGTTGATTCCCGGGGCTTAATTCCATGTGGAGTGTTCCGGAAGGTCGCCAATTCCCCCGAAAACTTCGGATAATGCCGATTAAAACGCGAGAGAATTTCAGGCCACCTACCAAAAACAATATGATCGGGAGACCCAAAGGGACTGTTTAGCGGCAACATGGTGCTGCAGGATTCGATAGTTTAGAGGCACCAAAATTTCATTTTCAGTATACATCTTTTATATTGGACTATTGTCCAAGGTGCAACTGTTTACCATCAAGAGCAAATAGACAACAAGCTTGACCATAAGACATCATTAGGAGAAAATGATACGCTATATTGGCAATTCTGATTGCTGCTCAACTATCACCGGCTGAATTGAACGACTGCTGGTTGTTGCCGGAGTTGGTGTGCGACGAGCTTTAGCTAACTTGCAGCCGAAAGTTTCAATTAATTTGACGCTTTGCGACTCAACTTTCGCATAACTGAGGCTTCCAGGGGGCCAGCTGCGGTCCTCGTCTAGCAACTGGTAACGAGCCTGTAGACTTAAATTAAATTTGACGTGGGAATCTGACAACAGCTACTTGCTCGAATATGACTGAACTAGCAGTGGTTTTGACATACCGTTGATGGGAATGTGAAAGTGACTATTAAATTTCGTTCAGGCGGTGACATCAGTGTCGTGACATCTAATTCCGTGACAGTTTTCGACATTCATGATCCTAGGTGTTCACACATACTAACGCCGATATACATAGTTAAGCAGCACCGATTCGCCGTAATGTCGCCGACATAAATGAACCCAGAAACATTGTTGCCAAGGTTTAGGTAAAGAAAGTCGCATAGTCACACACAAAATAGCGCCAAAATCGCCCAACGTTGACGAAGACTTTGTGGTGCTTTTTTGGCACATATCGCAATTTCAACATTTGAGACGCATTTTAGCACATTTGATCGCCTAATATGCGATTTGTCACTCAACTTGGCAGCACTGGCAGAAAAATATTCGTTGGCCGAGATAAAAATATTATCATAATCGTTCGTTCGCCGATCTTACGTATGCTCAATTCGGTGTTTTTTGGTGAAATGTTGGAGCTGGTCTTACCCATCTCCGACAACTCGCCAAGTAAATACTTTTACTTACTTTTTGGGCTATATGTGTTTTAGTATAAGTTAATTAATATAAGTGTTAAGAACATTTTAGGCTATTAAATATGGATCGATATCTCGAAATATTGTATACTGTTCATCGAGATATTTTGGATGCAAAATTGAATATTAAAAAAAACAAAAAATTATGTTTAATACATTTTATCTATCTATCTATCTTTTGAATTGCCGCCGTTGTTTCGCTGGCGACTCGCTTTTCGCTATGCCGACATATGTTATCGGCGAATCGCTGGGATCTACAATGCATACGGGCGTAACACATAGTATCGCGACAGACAGTAGCGGACGTGTTAGAAGAAGTAATTATTTTAAAATTAAGGCGAAAATAAAAAAAAAACGGGTATGGATGAGACAGTGAATTAGGCGTACAAACAAACTAGGGGCATCAAAAATCACCTTTTCTAAGTTAACAATTTCTAGAAGCGCTTCTTCTGCTTGTTCACGTTTTTGTCTATCCTTATAATGGGCGATTTATACGATACGATTTATCCCATAGACATGGATATGATTGGTCATATTCCCGAAATGTAATCAAATCAAAAGAGATTGATAACCTTAAAGAAATGTCACCGAGACTTTGAATATAAAACTAACTAGTTTTAAGTTAGTTTTATATTCAAAGCACGGAGACATCGGGAGTGTCAGGATGTCACGGCAGTAATGCCATACTAGGTAACTTTTCCCTAGTTCTAAGGATTTTTTTCAAGCAAAAGAAAAAATAGATTTGTTATAATTGTCTAGGGATTTTTAAGAGTTTTCGTTTATCTGCATAAAAATTGAATTCTGGCAAGAAAATATTAATATATCGGACTACATAAGGCTAACAAGTAGAAAAGAACCACACATTTTTAAAAGTAATCTCAATTAGTTAAGAGTCTCCTTTAAGGTCTTTTTAATTTACGGGAAATAATCTTTACTGGGATGCAAAAAGCGATTGACCTGCACTGAGTGTGTTTTCGCAACTGCCCCATCTACACATAAACTTTGTCAAATACCTATTTAAATTAAAGCTTGAATTAAAAAAAATAAATCAGAAGAATACAAATTGAAGCTCAATTATGAATTCCATTTTTTACAATTTCGTAATATACCGTTTCCAATATAATTTTTTGTTTTCCTTTTCATTTTTTATAAAACATTTTTATTTATAATTTTATTGAAATTCTAGGAAAAACCGGATTTTTTTACCGATCTGGCATTACTGTGTCGCGGTTCGCAAGTTTAAGAGTCCAAACCCTCCCAGGTGTCTAAAATTATAACTATAAGTTAACTAGTAATTTGAGACTTGTTTTGTTTACATTGGTGTTTACATCTAATTGTGATTTGCTTTCTTTTAATCTAATCAATTTTTGCAAGCTTTTCATTTTTGTTTTTTGCTTCATTCATATTCATTTTTGTTACGATTTCAACTCTCATATTTCGCTTGTTTATTAATTCCATTAGATAAACAAGTCTGACAAGTCCCAACTGACACTCGGCTACGCCTAATTTGAAGTTTGGCAGCGCCCCCATCGGTAGTTGATCGCGCGAATAACAAACCATTTTGAAATGTGTCACGACACCATGACATTGAGACATTCGGGTGTTCAGACAATGACATTGTTGTGCAATTCACGTCACGACATTGGATGTCAGTACATTAATGTCACCGTGTGAACGAGCTTTAAGTCAGTTTGCGTTATGGTGGGAAATCGCCGAAAAATAGTCGGCAAAGTTTGTGTGTGCCAAGTATGTTGCCGCTTTTGCAAAATGCATCTGATTTAAAAACTGCAAGCTATTCGATAGTTTCTCTGTTTTTTGGATGATAGTTCAAAGTGCCGTTTTCTCCATTCGCTCCCTATCCCTGGATCATCGCCACTAACAGATTCTCTCGAGCATCGTTTAAGCCTGACCCTCGCCGGCTCATGAATATTTAACAATTTATTCCTGGATAAGCATAATGCTTTATAAATTTCACAGTCCATGAACGTGTTCCACTACCCGATCTCACATTTAATTAGGACGAAACGCGCAAACACACGTAACACAGTCGCGCGTTACAAATTAGGGCAGTTTTAGTGTGGTTTTTTATGGGGGAGGGTGCTGTTGCATGGTCTTTCGGGGACTGGATTTGGGAACTGCAGCTTTCCCAATCACCTCGAAGTGGGTATTTTTAGCCAAGGCCTGATTAATATGCAATGAGCAGATTGTATTTCCATGCATGTAAATGCAGGCAAACCGCATCGATCGCTTATTAAAAGCGCTTTTTATATGCTCCTTAATTAAGTATTAATCATGCGATATTTTATGACGACTGATACACGGAGGCCCATATACCTACATATACAAAACGACACTGTTGCCCGTTTTCCAGGGTTTTCTTGCTACAAACATACTCTTACCATTATGAAAATCTGTGAGCTTGTGAGTCCTTACAGCATGCTCTCACCCATCCAAGCGGTTCCAGCATTGCTAGCAGGACGCACAGTCACTCCACAGCCACTTTCGCGACATCTGCCCGTAAAAGTCACGCGACAAGCTCAATGGTCAATGTGGCCCAACACCCTGTAGCTCCATATCGGCATCAGATTGAGAAAGTCCCGAAGGAGCGCCGGTATATTCGAGCGCCTGTCCCGCAAGGAATGGGCTTCGGGAGGGCGAGCAGGACGTTTCGGCTACGGGCTCAGTCCTGCGCCCTGGACGGGAGCACGTGTGCGTGGCTTTGGAAGCCCCGAGGTCGGCTGGGCCGACGGAAGAAACGGGGGTCAGCCTTTATTACGGCCGCCAAACTCCTGGAGCATTTCCTTACCAGACAAGGGTGCGGACGAGCCGCATTTGGTCCGCTTTTTATTCAAATCAGCCCTACATTACCGGTTTTTATGGGCCACATGAGAAAACCCCGCGGTTGAAGGCAAAACTATACTATTAAGGATGGCTAATTATCTTGATCTACTCCTTTCGGTTTTCGATCACACAAGTCCCTTCACATTGCAGCCCATGTAGCATTTTTGGTCTAGATGACGTCCAAATGACGACATTCGTCTTATATTAGTCCATGGACTAATAAGTTAGACGTCCAACTGACTGTGACGTAAGTCACAGCTTTAGTACGTCTAAATGACCAATCACAATGACGCCTAGCTGACGAATGCAAAAGCGTAAATTAGACGTTAAGTTGAATCATTATACAGAGTGATTTTTTTTCGATGACTAGTACAAGGATCTTCAGAACTAGAGCAGTTACGAAGAAGGTCAACCGGACAAAGAAATGCGGAAAACCGCAATTCCGCCAGAACTTTTACCAAGAGTAAGTGCGGTAAAGCTTAACAATACGATCTGCTGTCACCCACGCACAAGCCCGCACGCACCGTACGCGCAGTCGAAAATTCGATACCGCTCAGCTATATTGCCATCAAAGTAGAAAATCCCAATCAAAACAAACGTTCAATAGAGAATAGAGAGTTATGGTGGGTTTATACACGAGAATAAGGAATAACGCTTAATGATTAAGGCGTATCTTAAAAGATTGTTGTGCGTTAGTCCATAGAGGTGTTTATAAACCGAATAGTGCCTAACGCTTAAGGAATAAGGCTTAAGAAAGCTGCCAACTTTCAACTTTTATCTTATCTGTTAGGCGTTATTCTAATGAGGCATGCGCAGTTTGTAAGATAAATGATTTTCCAATATCCCATGTGACCGCCAAACATCGTATTTACAGTTTGTTATGAGGTTAGAAAACGAAATTATTAAACCAAAACGAACTACAACTTCTTCAGAGGACAAATCCATTTTAATGTACAATATAGGTATATATGAAATAAGCTTTTATTGGTATGTTATCGCGATAATGTTGACACAACCCTATTGTTTCTTAAGCCTATGCTGCAATTTGAGTGGCTGTACATAAAATAATATTGTTCCTTATTCTGCTTTATATACACCCCAAGTGGCGTTATTCCTAATAAAGCGTTCTTTTTATGCCTTAAGCCTTATCCTTATTCTCGGGTATATACCCACCATTAGGGCAGAAAGACCGATTGGGTCGATAGCCTTTTTCTATAGGAAATAAAGATTATTTATATATATATACCCACCATTATTGGACGCTCAATAAGGACATGCAGTAATAAAGCTAGTGGTATTTTGAAACATACGCGCCTGCGCAATTGAGTCAGAAAATAAGGGACCCCTTAATAAGGGTACTGTTCCGTGCTATTTGTGCAGCAATACTGTACGCTTTATTTCTACCTTATACTGGCAATTGACATTTCTAACGTCCGCTTGCAGGTTAAGTCCACAGATCACTAATTTCTGTGGTCGGTGGCCACTGTGGATACTGAAAGCAGTGAATTAGGCATTCCAATAACTATCATTTCGTTAGAGAAATAAGGCAAATGCAGTGTTAAAATAAGGATTAACCTTATTACTGCATTACAGTACTTATAATTTCCAATAACTTTCTAATTGCAATCTAGCAAAATTTGATAAAAGTCTGGTTCAGTTATACTGCAGTTACTGCACCGCACAACGGTACACACACTATAAGTTGCAAGACCGGCCATTGTCCAAAAATTTCCAACTTTAAAACTTAACTTTTAAATTCTGGAGTTTTCAATTTGATGCGTCGTTGGTTAAGGAAGTGGTAATAATAATACTGGCAACTGCGCAAAAAATTTGGACTGACACGCCGGCGCCAAGAGCAAAACCATCATGGCGGTGCCTTTTGATTTGTTTTGGAAATTGGTGAATTTCAGAGGGTGAAAAGTCGTGAAAAACGGCATTTTCTCGAAAAATCTATAGGAAAAATGTTGATGGTTATGATATTTTCTATAAGGTGGACATAGTCTTAAACGGTAACACGGCAGTCCTGATATCAGATTACCTTAGCAAAAATTAAAAATAAATAGCGATTTGGCTTTTGTTGACCATAAGCAACTTCTCGCCTTCCTGAACCCCTATGAAACCCAGACGTATATGAGAGAGATGATAAAGAGAGAGAAAACGGCAACTCGACTAGTCCTTTAAGTCCTTAAATTTCTAATAAATATCAGGTGCTTGTGTCGTTTGAGTCCTTCCAAATTTTCAGTTTTTCTTCCCTTTTTTCAAAAATTTCCTGTATGGTCCATAAATTAAGCTGAAAAACACTCACAAAGTTTGAGAAAAATTACTACTTTCAGGCTAAATTTCGAGTCCCAAAAAAAAAAAACCCAAACTGCGGCAAAGATTTTTAGTTAATAAAATCTGACTAACAGCGCGCTAGATAACCTCAATCAATGGACGACGTTGGAAAAAATGCTCAAACTTTTGCGAAAAACACTGGTGAATTTTTTTTCGCAAAAAGTGCTTAATTTGAAGTGTTCTTTAAGGTAAAAATCGGCGACATTTAGTTGCTCCTCGCATATTTTGCTTATACAACAATAAACAAATAATTAAGAGAAGTATTAAAATATATGATCAGTCAATAACGAAGTAAGTATTCATATATTTATTACTATTTTTTTTTAAAAACAAATAACATTATTAATAGACGGTTGAAAGCCGCCAGCAGCCATTACGGTGTTTTCTTGGTTGCGTGATATCTGGCATACGGACGCAAACCGCGAATGTTTGACAGCGACATTCAATTGTCTGGAACTTTGTGGAAAAACTTATCTGACATTAATTTTGCTAGTTTTTCGGTTTTTCACGCTTTCAAAAGTTATTTCCGTAATCAGAATCAATAAAATGAAATCCAAAGCTTTTGCGTCGATGAATTTGGTAAGATTTGTACTGCATCTTATATACCCTGTTTTTAGCAGGCTTTTGTCGGAATAGTTTTTCATTATGCTTTAGCAATCACCCAAATCCAAGTTAAACATTGAAAACCTATTCAGAATGTTTCGTTGCGTGTTATGTTCTACAAGTATTTAAAATCTACATTTGTTTTAGTTTTTTCGGCTTACAATTTCATATCTTGCGCCATTCTTTATTCCTGCTAGGTTTTCAAGAGGAAAATACGAAACGTACGTTCGAAATTCAAGAGGCGATTTAGAAAACTGACCTCAATCAAAAGCGCAACTTTTTTTGTTTGATTGAATATTGAAGAGCATTGCAGATCTATATTAAATATACAGGGTGTTTAAACTATCGCCTACATGAGTATTTCTTTACCTGAGGTTGTTTCATGCCGAAACGTTCATATAACATCGGTGCGCAAATACACTCACTTGCAAAAGTCTTGCACCCCCCCTGTATTCACTACATACGTTTAATTTATACAAAATTGTTTTATTGGTAAATAAAACATACTTGTTTACAAGTAAACAAACTGATGGAATTGATGATGTTGATGATTCTGTAAAAATTGCACCTTTATATTGATTTCTATTAGGGCTCGGAATCAAACTCGAATAATTCGAGTATTCAAATATTGTGTAGAGGTGCACGCTCTATTACGAATATAAATTTAAGGCAAGTGTGAACTCGACTTCTATTTTATCGTCGTGTGATTGAAAAAGGAAAGTTTCCCTGCATGCGAACGTTCAAGGGCGGATGCAGGGGGGGTCATGGGTGTCATGAGCCCTCCTTGGGCTGGGTTTATAACGACTGACAATATTTTTTCTAATTGCATAGGCAACAAAAGACTGAATTTCTACTACTTGACCCCCCTGACTCAAAAGCTGGATCCGCCCTTGTGAACGTTACCATTCAGAAGATATTTAAATTAAATCGCACATACAAGCTATAAAACCTTCACCATTATGAACTGAACTCTATTACACCATTCGATCTTTAACTTCAAATGATAATCATAGAGCCATCACAAAAAAAGTAGGAAAATTATACAACTCGTCTTCGGGCAGATATATGAGAATTAAATGTATCCATGAGCTAATATCAAGTCAGCTAGAGAACCTTCCAGCTGTAGCTAAACTGTTATGTTTATTGGAACATTGTAATGATGCAGCTTTAAAACATTTTCAAACTTCAATTTGTTTACCATGAGTAATCCGTCGTGTGTAAACTACATAAAAATCCCCTTTTTTTAATTATGTGAGATGTTTTAAGAGATAGTTTTAGCTTTCCTACCATGATATCGCATACATTTTTCAAGTCGCGCTTATGTATTCTTCAGGTTTTAACGAACAGCGATGTAAAAAACTCAGTAAACACTTTCCAACTATCCAAGAAATATGCCAAGAGACTGGTGAAAATCTCGATATTGAACATTATTTACCAGCGAATTGCGATTTCTGAGAAGGAATTTGAGGTGAAGAACTATCAAAACATTCCCTATAGAGTATGTAAACGCAAATCTCAAAATACTTTTATCAGGGTATATTATCATTCGGCTTCCAATGGTATCATTGAAGCTATAGAAAAGGATTATGTAAGTAGTTAACAATCCATAAAGAATTTAAATATTTTGCCAGCCCCTCATAAATTATGACCTTATTAGAGACACTACAGTGTTTCTAAGATTCAGCTGACTCTTAACAATATTTCTCCTTCAAAAATTAAGCATTATGTCGGAGTGCTATATTCTTCTGCGCTTCATTATATTCAAGGAATATAATGCAAAGTAAACATTTCAGCTGAAGGAAATTGCAATGCACATCATCGGAAAAGATAGTGACGAGCTCTTGGAAACTTACAACATAAAAATTAAATACAACAAGCAAGATTCCAAGTCTAATCAGAAAAGTTCAGCAGTAAAAGCCGCAACCATGGAGTACTTTAAAGTTCTGACTGGAATACCAGGGAAGAAGTGGCAAGAAGACAATGTGAAAATGTCTTTCGAGATTTTTTATAACAAAGGTTTGTATGCTCTGAAGCAACCGGAACCTTTTCGTAACCAAAATGGTTATCTGTTATTCAGGCGTTCCAATTGAATATGAGCCTCCTAACTTTGAGCCAACCAAAGAACTGCTGTGTTCTAACCCAAATAACTTAACAAGCTTGGGAAATATTTCCACTGGCTTTCATAAAGTTATTTCGTGGGGCCGCGGCGCAAATGTAAGTTTGTAAATGTAAAGCACTTCTATGGAATAATACGAAACTGCGAATGGGCTTCCGGATGCGCGTATAAATATTGGTTTTGTTTTTCGACGCAGTTTGCCGAAGTTCGAAAACTTACCCATTCTGAAAACAGTTCAGTCCCAGTAAGTAATGCGAAAAACAATTTGTTGGAGGATGATGATAATATGGAAGACATCCCTGAGCTGAAGCGGAAACACAACAGTGAGAAGTTTTCACGCACATAAGTGTTCATTTCAAATTATGCCTCCCAGGTAAAAGGTGCTAACTTGTAATGAAATCTTTTAGATGGTACATGCGGCGAAAATGCGTCAAAAAAACATAAACTGCAGGTCATATCACCTAATAGTGACATAAGTACAAATGGAGGCAAGTTTTGCGTATCAAAATCACACTTTTCTTATCTACTTATACTGTTAAGATATTATGATCAAACCAAAAACCTGGCAATTTTTAGAAATTGATTGGGGAAATATTTCTATCCTGTCCAGTGAAGACACATACTGTCCGTGTAAATGGCGACTGCCTGACAAATATGAAACCATAAAATGCACCAAATGTTTTGGAAAAGTGCATTTAGCATGCCACGGATACATCAGTATCGAAGCTGTTGATAAAACTAAGTTTAGCTGCTATACATGCGTATATTCTAGAACTAACCAGAACAAATTAAACAACATGAATATGTTGATGAAAATGAGGTAAGTTTTAGCTTAACCATTCCATACATCCGTTTTCAGCAGGCATAGTATTTCGTTAAATTGTTACAAAAAAGCTCATTTTATTTTCGGGAAATACTTGATTATCGAAGTCCCAATGGCATCAATGTGCGTTGTCTTACGTAATTTGAAGACAAGTTTACAATGTTTGAATTGTTGTCCCACTCGTAGTTGTCAAGCAAATACAATTCGTGCCTTGTTTTAAATATAATTTTATGGATTAATTTGAAAGTTTGCTTTTTAATAAAACATCTTATTAGCATTACCATAGCTATGACTTCTGACGCGTATATCTTCAGACTGTCTACAGTCAATCTTAAGTCCGTGTCCCATCTGAGTAGGCCTAGGTAACTCAGTGAATTTTTAGGAGTTGGCGCAGTGCTTCGCAAATGGTCTGGTGCGCCAACTCGCACCGGCGCACTAACTCAGTTCCGTTGCTAGGAAAATGTTGATGACTTTTTTTACTTGATTTTAGATTTATTTTAAGGGCCATTT